TAAAGGTAGAGAAAGTTCCAACAAGTTTTTGGCGTCGTTGTCGGGGACTTAATTTTCAAAATCATTTTTTTTAAGTTAATTGTTTCATATTGTGATTGTTGCATACATCTGTTCCTTAAGATTATTTGTTATATTTAACCTTAAAGGATCAATTTTTTAAGCACAAAGGCGCTCTTGTAGGAGTCCCTAATGAGGTTAAGGCAAGAATAAAGGCCAATAAAACAAAAGAAAAAACGAGAGAGAGAGAATGAAAAAAAGTAGGAGAGGTTACTTGTATTGAATGAAGAAACGAGCAGGAGTGTTTGAAATGGAGTCTAAATTTATGTACAATCTTCCAATGGGAAGTAACATGCTCAAAGCTCTTGTTAATCAATTATGGTTGTTTATATTGTGGTGATATTTGTCATTCAATGGAACATTGTTCATCTAATCCTTCATCTTTTTATTGTCTAGGTCCGCCAAGAAACCAACAAGAATTCACCCCTTATTCAATTCCATACAACCAAGATTGGAAGGATCATTCGAATTTATTTTGGGGAGAGCATAAACCTGAAAGTATCCATCCATATAAGCATGTATTTCCACAAGAATTCCTGACGCAACCTCAACAAGAGTATAAACAACCATGGATACTAGAGCAAATACAATTGTCGAAAATTTCTAGACTTGAAGAGATGATGATATACTTTACGGCAATAAATGATGAAGCATTACTCATGTTGCAAATCCAATTAGAGCAGATGATTGATGAGGTGAGGAATAGTCCACCAGAAGCATTTCTTAACAATGAGCAAGATGAGACAATCAATGTATGAAGCGAGTTTGAATATGAGAAACCTGAGCTTCTAGTGAACAACAATGATCCACCAGCCCCTGATGTGATGAACGAGGTATGGAGGAATAAGGTAGTCGAACGAGAGGAACTGGTAGAGGAATTGAGCATAAGGTTAAATGGACTTAAACCAATCACCACTCAATATTGGACCACTTTTCCCTTTTCCTCAACATTCTTTGGAGACAAATGAAGACATAAAAAAGGGTGAGCTAACCAAATCTTTCAAGGATCAAGTAGAGGAAGAAATAGGAGAAGATTATATAGGTTCACATGAAGGGTTCTGCATTAAAGTTTCACCCCAAATTCCAATTTTAAAAAACGAATGCATACAAGTCACCTACCCCTCAAGATGGACCTTCAAGCATATTGTACTTCCAAAAAGCAAAACTATGACATGGCAGTAGCAGAAGAGAGGTCGAATGAGTTTGAGGAGAATAATTGACAGTTTCAAGCCTCCAACGTCCTTTAAAGATCAATATGAGGGAAGTTTGTACATTACTATCATGCTTGTTTACTTTTCAGCCTTTTTTTTGTCCTGATAATTTTAATAATTTTATTTTCTTAGTACAGGATTGAAGTTCCCAAGAAAATAAGGAAGGTGAAGCGAGGTTGTTACAGTTAAATGAGTTGGATGAGTTTCGTCAATTTTCTTATGAGAATGCTAAGATGTAAAAAGAGCAAACAAAAGCTATGTTGTTGATCTTTACCCCATTGAAACCTCGTCTTCTTAAGGCATTCGATTAGAGGAGCTACTATAATGCTAAAGTTTCTAATGAATTTCTGATAAAAAGATGCAAGCCCATGAAAACTTTGAACTTCTTTAACATTTGAAGGTGCTGGCCACTCACTTATGGCCTTAGTCTTTATAGGATCAACTTTTATGCCTTGCTCACTAATTATAAATCCTAAGAAGATAAGTTTTGACACGCCAAAAATGTATTTTTTTTCAAATTGATATGTTAGGAGTTATCTTTAAGAGCAGACAAAACATACTCCAAGTGAATAAAGTTCTCATCTAACTTTGTACTATAGATCAAGATGTCATCCAAATAAACCACCACAATTTTTTCAAAAAATGGTTGTAAGACTTTATTCATAAGGTGCATGAATGTACTTGGTGCATTAGAAAGTCCAAATGGCACTACAAGCCACTCAAATAATCCTTCATTAGTTTTAATGGCAGTTTCCACTCATCTCCTGGTCTTATACGAATTTGGTGATATCCACTTCTAAGATCAATTTTGGAGAAATTTTTTGATCCATATAATTAATCTAGAATGTTAGGTAATCTAGGAATTGGGAATCTATATCTAATTGTGATTTTATTTATCACACGACTATCAATACACATTGTCCAAGTTCCTTCTTTCTTTGGGGTAAGTAGGGCGGGAACCGCCCAAAGACTCATACTATGTCGATTATTCAAGAGGTCATCAACTTGTTCATGCAGAATTTTATACTCGGTTGGCCATTCTATAGTGTGGTAAGTTTGGCAAAGGTGCACCCATAATTAAGTCTGTATAGTGTTGGATATCTCTCAATGGTGGAAGTTCACTAGGTAATTCTTTAGAATATAAGTTTTTAAAAGTGTGCAGTAAATTGGAAATAGCTTGTAGAATGTGAGTGTCTAAGCAATCCTCATCATGACCTTTAATGATTAGTGCAACTATGTTTTTGTTCTACTCACTTAAAAACTCATTTGAGGCTATAATAGAGAAGAGTTTTGAAGATATACCTGTCGAATTTACCTCTTTTGCTTATTAGGTAGTAGAGTGATTTTCTTACCAAGCCAATTAAATTCGTAGGTGATCTCCCTTCCTTTGTGAATGGCCAAGAGATCAAATTGTCAAAGTCTACCAAGTAAGATGTGGCATGCATCCATGTCTATAACTATGCAAATAATTTGATCTTTGTAATGTTTTTCAATGGACAGTGGAATGGTGCATATTTCTATGATAGCCACTTCATTTCCTTTCTTGATCCATCCTATTTTATAAGGATTAGGATTAGGATCAGTGTCCAATCCAAGAACTTTGAGTAAGGCTTTGGACACAACATTTTTGCAACTCCCACTATCTATTATCCCATCACACACCTTATCATTCACGGTGCATCAAGTCTTAAATAGGGTATGTTGTTGAGTAGTATTCACTTTTATTCTTGGATTCAATAGAAGTCTTTGGAGAGCACAAATTACCCGTTCACCATCATCTTCTTCTTCAAAGATTTCTTCTTCATTTTCAGAAAATTTCTAATCCTCTTTTTACTGTTGTCTTCTTATTCTGAACCTTCTTCCATCAATGAGAACTTCTTTCTTTAGGGGCATTCATTGGAGAAATCGCCTGTTTGACCACATCTACAACATTTCTTTAAATTTCAAGATCTTGCATATGGACTTTCTTGCTTTGAGGCTGAATTTTTGTTGATCGTGGGCTGTCCACTAGCTTTTTCGACCCCACAGTTTTGATAATTTGATCTCCACTTGGTTGGTGCTTTTGGTTTCTCATTTCCTACCTTGTAAAATTCATTCTTTTCTTCCCGATTTTGGTTGTCTTGTTTAAATTCTCCCTTTGTATTAGTAAATCCAAATCGACCGGATGATGTTCTTGCTTCTCTACTCCAATCGGGAGTGTTTCGATTTTCATTCCAGCTTGCTTGTCCATGGCCCAATTTCTTTCTTTCTTGATTTTTTTTATCAATTTTGATAGCCATTGCTACTATTTCACGAATTTCTGCTAGGAGAAATAAATCAATTCGATCTTGAATCTCTTCTCGAAGGCCATTGATGTACCGTGAAACTTGTTGATATTCGGATTCCGACAAATAATTCCTTGATTTAATTGATACCACTCGCTTGTGTATTCTTCTATTGTCTGCTTATATTTTTTGCATTCTTGATATGATTGATACAAGATTTGCTCACAATTTTCGGGTAGGAATCTTGCCCTCAACATCTTCTTCATTTTTTTCAGATTCTTTCACTGCTTTCTTGCCCATTTTTTCTTCTATTTGAGGTTATTGGATGTGTTGCCCTAAACTCGTAGTTTGTATTCATGGAAAAACAAATTTATATTCAATCAATTTGTTGTTGAATTCATAGCATTGTATTGTCTAAATTCAATTGTAACGCCCTAAGTTTTCGAGTTGTTTTTATCCTAAGATTTAAATTTAGCCTTTGGATTTTCCCCTGAGCTGGTAATTAAATTTTTGGATTTGTAAGTTGGAGTTCTAACTTTGGGGTAAATTATAATTTAAGTTTAATTTCGTTGAATTAAGATAAATTTAGTTTTTGAATTTTGGAAGAGATTTTTTTTAATTAAATCTTATTCCAAGAATTTGGAAGTTTAATTTCTGTTTTGGATTTTATTATTGGGTTCCAAGGATAAGTTAACCTCCTAATTTATGTTCGCAAATACTTATGGAGTGGGTTTTATTTTTAAAAAGGATTAATCCCTACTCTATTATAAAGGCTTAGGTCATTCTTCCTTGTCTTGTTTTCGTTGGGCCCATATCTTTTTTATCAAAAAAAATAATAATAATTAAGGAAAGGTTGTGAAAACAAAACAACTACTCTATTATAAAGGCTTAGGTCAT